AAATGAAAGATGGATTTGTCTTGCCTTGTGTCAGTATTTTGTGTTTACCAGCCCTCATTTTTTCCCACTGGCTGCATGGAAAAAGTCTTTAAAGGAGTAGGTTTTTGCAAGAAGCCCAAGAGCTCAAAGAGGCTTTGTGTGTTTATTATGCTATTGTGAGGATTTCGTCTGCAGTCTAGGAAAATATTAGGATTAATATATCAGTGAACTTGGAGCCCTGAGCAGGCCCCCAACACGGCTACTCACAAATTAATTCATCAGATTTTGTTTGCTTAATGTGCCTTATAATCGGAAAAATACGGTAACTTCTACCTTCCTTTAGCATGTCCAGAAGTCAAACTTCTTGTGTGATGGTTCCCTTCTTCCTCTGCCTTTTGGATGCTACCGCAGGTGCCTTTGACGGTGCAAAACATTTTGTTGACATTGTTGTGTTTGTTGGGGAGAGAACTTACAAACATACAGTACAGCACTTCAGAGTCACACTGCTAGCGATCACAGATTTATGTAAATTTGACAAGCTGAATGCATTCTGTACTGGACAGACGCGGCACGGAGGAGACTGATTGACTGATTGATAGTTACGCCTATTCAATTGTTTGCTAATGCAAATATCTAATCAGCCAGTCTCACCGTAGTAATTCAATGCATTTAGGCATGTAGACATGGTGAATATGAAGCACCAGAATGGGGAACAAAAGAAACTTAAGAGACTTTGAATGTGGTTGTTGGTGCCAGATGGGCTTGTCTTAGTACTTCAGAAACTGCTGATCTACTGGGATTTTCCTGCACAATCATCTTTACAGCTTTACAGAGAATGGTCTAGAAAGAGAAGATGTCAAGTGAGCACTTCTCAAGGTGAAATTTCGCTGTTGTGCCAGAGGGTAGATGAGAATAACTAGACTGCTTCAAGCTGATAGGAAGATAACAGTAACTGAAACGGAGTAGTGTACCCGAGTATTGTTTCCATGAGCAACCCCTTTGTGACCAGCAGGATAATGCATCATGTCAAAAAGCTCAAATCATCTCATACTGGTTTCTTGAATATGACAAGGAGTTCAATGTATTCAACATTTTAATTTTAATGTTTCTCATAACGCAAAGTGTAAGTATTTATTTTATTATGTTCATTTTGTATTGACATTTTTTTCATATTGATTGCATCAGTGGTTCCCTATATATTAGCTGTTCTGTGAAAATGTAATTGTAGATACGAGTTTTTCAATATGCTATAGACCATCCAAAGTTCAGAACTGCACAGCACGTGTACAATATGTGCAGTATTTGCAGCTGGTATTTCAGCTAATATTAATTCAAAAGTTTTATAGGCTGACATACTGAGAGGTAGAGCAGGGAAAGCTTATTTTTAAAATAAACAGTGGAAACCTATTTCAGAAATGTATTTAGATAATATAATGTAAGGAAAGTTAATATGTGCATGTGGATTGTTGTACTAACACAAGCTATGTATTTTTCTCTGTTTGTTCTGCTTTATTCAACAAGAGCGTAGCAGTATTCTTTTAAAACACACATTGCTAAGCTTGGTCACTTTTAAAGTTGCAGCTACACAAGAACATGTGTACAGGTGCATTTTATTCACCGCCATTTGTCACCTGTGGAACGTCTGTCGTGCGGCTGACATCTGTTTGGTGTATTTATTATTCTTTGACTTATCCCCTCTTTTTGCTCCATGGTCATTAGTATTGGTGCGGTGGCATTAATTTCAGTGGGGCGCTAATTTGTTTAGGCTTTAGGTAGGGCTTGTGGGAGATGGATTCAGCTGTCACATCACGGTACTGGCGGTGTTAGTGATGTGTGCTGTCGCAACGCTGATGTATGCTCAGGGGCCAGGAGGGCAAGGCCCCGGGGCTGGCTGCCTCTGCTGCTCTGACTGACGACTGGCAGGCAGCTCGTTAAGAGTGGCCCATCATTGCCACAAGGTCAGAGGGACTGTGGATTTGCAGCAGTGTCTTGTCACAACATCTATATGGAATATCTTACAAGAGAGCTGCCCAAAAGGCACAACATCTAGACAAATATAATATTGTGTTGATGCAACAATGCACCTCGATCCGCAGGCTCTAATGGGGAAAATAGATTTCCATTTCATTTTTAGGAGGTAAATTTGGGTGATATGACATTTGGTGCCAGTGTCTGAAAAAGCATGTGTAACTGCAGGGTCCCTAACAAATTGAAAGTCAGGATTCATTAAGAAGACTCTCTTATTAAATTAAACTTGCTGCATTCTTTGCATTTGGTCAGGAGGGATCGTTCTCCCCGCAACGCCCATGTTCTGTTCATATCATTCAAAAAAGTATATTTAAGCATGTTATCAGCACAGCTCTAGGAAAGGCAGTGAAAATAATCTGCAAAGTCTGAAAGAGTGGGTATCATGGCTGGAGACTCTTTTGTTTTTCTTAGAAATAGAGAAACATATTCTGCATTGCCCGGTTACTGTTGTTCCTGACTTTAAGTTCCTAGGGCGACGTAATCAATTCTGCAAAATAAGTTCACTTTTTTCTTCAACCTGGCAACCCTAAAGTCTGTGAAATCCAAGCAAATCTGCAGTTTGCGTTACTAATTCAGCATCTGAGCAAATGTGAAACAAGGTCACATTTTCCATTCTATCATCACTTAATTCCTTTCCAGTTAGACATTTGTTCAGTATTTTGTTGTAATCAAAACAAGGATTCTTGAGATGAAGCCTACAATGCGTTTTGTAAGGTCAGTGTGAACCCTAAACACCAAATTTTTGTCAGTGCATCCTTGAGTCCAGAAAAAGTTTGTGCCAAACTTGAATCATTTCCATTCTTGCATTCCTGTGATGTTCAAATCATGGAATACCAAAAAAAGAAGAAAAACAACAGCTAATTCTGACACAGAGGCCTAAAAATGTGGCTATTATTACATATGTTACTTATTTGAAGTATATTAAAATGAACAGTATACTGAATCAGTGATTCAAACAAGTAACAAGAAAAACACTTTCCATGTATTTAGTTTCAACTGCTAGGCTGCATTTAAAAATAAAACCAGTTTATTCTTAGAGAGCCTTTTTCAGAGGACCAAATTAAGTTTGTCCAACAGGTATTGGAAACTCATGAGATTCTCAGAGTTTTACCAGTGGTGTATCCACCTACACCATCCTCTCATCAGTCTGGAAGCGGTGAGTCACATAGTAGAACTAGTGAAGCGAGAGTGATTTACCATACTCAAATATATAAACATATCTCTGTCAGTACGTGTACACAAAAAGAAATACTTGTGCTTCCTTCCAGCCTCCAGTAGATCCCCCTGGACTGTCCTCAGACATTACTCACTGTCTCCATGGCTCCCTGTTGATTAGCACCCCACTGTTTTTAGCAGCTGGATAAGTCATGCTAGGGTTGTTTTCATCATTCCACTCTTTTCTGACTCTTGGCTTTCTTGTGTGGTGTAAGCCTTCTCACACGTCTCAGTGTTGCCAGTTTGGTTGTCTGTTGGAATGCATGTGTGTCGTTTGGATCTGTGTTTCAGTACTGACTTTGAAATGCCTTTTTTTTTTTTTTTTTTTAAGATATTTTGTTTAAATGATGAAGGCAGCTTCATAGTATTTAGGTGACCATTGCTCCAGGCATCCCCTGAAGGCTGGTTCGCACAGCCACTTGCACTTCAACCAGCATAAGCAAGCTGTGTCTCGAGCTGAAGTCTGTACTTGATGTGTCCTCATTCTTTTGAGACTCTTCCAAGTTCCCTCAGTTTTTTTCTGTGTTGTAGTTTTTAGAGCTCTTGCACTATATCTGCAATCACAAGCATGCTACTTGAATAATCAAATTGTTTGATTGATTTTTAATGACAAACCAGTGGTCCTAGAAAAAGTTTAAAAATGATGGTGTCATTAACGATTAAGGTATTATTTTTTTCGCATTCCTTTCAGAGACATACCAAAGTAAATGTGAAAGATAAACAAAGGTTGTAGGAAATTCAGCCTCCATAATGCTAGCATTGATAGAGAATGACATGCATCACACTGCAAACACTGTTGCAATCACAGCAGACCAGTAATAACTGAAAAAATCATGCAGAGACAAATCTTCTATAACTATAACTGAGAAGATAGAAGACAATGCCATTAAATAATAATTAATTGCTAAAATGTCATCAACTAGCTGACTTTTGCATAAGTAGCAAATAATCCTGCTCATCTTTATTACTATTAGTGCTATGAGTGGGTTCTCTAGTTTTCTTTCACATTGCATATCACGTGAAACCAATTTCTCGCCATTTTTTATGCAGGTAAACTGCATGTTACAGTTTAAAGTTTGCATGATGAGGAGTTTGGGAAGCTGGCTGTGTCACTGCAACATCACCCCTGTTTAACATACTTTATTGAGTGTGAGAGATTATAAACAGGTGGAGTAACAGCTGAATCACTTTTGGTGTCAATGGGCCACAGCTTATTTTAAGGTGCAACCACAGTTGCGTACAGTGTTTTCTTGCCCACATCACTTCCTTGATTCTGATGCTTTTCCACAGTTTCGCAATTCGTACTGTCAAACAATATAGGATCTATAAAACATTTTTACATTATCAGAGCTGTCAAAAACAAAATCTGTTGTGTTTCGACAGAAACAATATTTTTATGTGCAATGTACTGTGGTATGTTGTATAATTTATGTACACCTTCTCCAGCCCATTCCATCTACATCTATATTCTGTGCCAAGTTTTTTTTTGTTTCATCTCTCAGTATTTTTCTTTTTTTTAATGGAAACACAAAGAAGTACTTGTTGTGCAGAGCAATAAATTCTTTATTGGATCAGCATTGCCAGAATCCCTTTTGCCACAGGTATATTTATTAAAATGCATTGGATATGCCTGGACACACTAATTAGGCTTAACTGCAAAAAACAGCAGCTTTAAAAAGGGCTTTTTGACTGAGGATAATGGTGTCAGACTTCCCCATTTTAATGCAGCCTCTAAGATATTTAAAGCTATTGCAAAGCTTGTTGACTTTGGGAATGATGCTGTTCAACTGTGGCTGCAGCTCCTTGGGAGAGAGCCCGGGGGCTCTGTTCCTGATGGAAGAGATGAAGGAACAACCTGTTAGTCCATCAAATGTGTGTAGTAGCACTGAGACAGAGACAAGAGTCCCAATCTGCAGCTGTGACTTAAAAGAACTTGGGAGACATGAGAAAAGCGCCTTGTTGACAATCAAAATTGTAGGGACAGTAGAATAGAAAATAGCTATGGTGAACATAACCGTGAGTTAACAAATAATGCAACAATAGTCAAGAGAAAGTCACAGTTTGAATGACCTTGGCTAATATAATACAAATGAAATTTTGGAGCATCTGGGAACTAAGAAGTGGTTCCACTTGAGAACTGGTGCCAAATTGCTCAGCCTATTGGAACTCCAAGCTGATCAGTTCCCTTTTATTATTGCTGGCTTAGTTTTCTGACAGTTGTCCATTGCAGAAGGCTGACACTGAATTCATGGCACTGGAGCTTTTTTCCCACCTAAGTCACATGCAAGCCTTTTTTGGCTACTCTTGGTCTACACTGTGTTCAGACATAGAGATAATAAAAGCAACCAGTGATGCTGTGTAGGCCTATATTGTTATTTTCCAATAAGCTCAGTAATCAATTGTGAATCAATGGGGAATCGGACCACTGAGGGGAATCCATAATGATGACTCCAATTCAACATTTAAAGATAAAAAGAGTGAAACAAAACAAAATGGGGAGGATAAAGTCAGTGGTTTTGTGCTTTTTTTGAACATTATATGCGTTCCTGAAACTCACTTTCCCACATTTCTGAGTGTTAGAATGATAGGAGGACTCATCTATCGCTTCCTCTCTCTGTCTCTCTGTTCTCTCAGAATGCTCTGGCCCACTGGGCATGGAGGGCGGTATAATCTCCAACCAACAGATAACGGCCTCTTCTACCCACCGTGCTCTCTTTGGCCTACAGAAGTGGTACCCGTACTTTGCAAGGCTCAACAAGAAGGGGCTGGTCAATGCCTGGACTGCAGCCGAAAATGACAGATGGCCATGGATCCAGGTAAAGCACAGTCACAAGACAGGCGCCACATAAAGTTGGGCCACAGCCAAGTGCAAATGAATTCAGCTCTCAGTTACAGACAGATTCCTGTTTTTGATCTTTAAATGGTTTAGTGTTATATTATTTAGAGGATCCCTGGTGTTTCACGTCACCTGTTTGTAGCTGATGGTAAGTATAAAGTGTAAACTGTAAAACTGATGGCTAGCTTGCTGTTAATAAAGACTCACCATAGGTTTAAGCTGTAGGGTAGAACAGATACTGCTGCAGTTTGGCTTAACATGAGAAACAACATCAAGTGGCAAACCGTTTACTTTTTTAAATCTTTATTCAGCGGCACCATCTCTTGTTTTGTTTGAATTGTGATTTACTCACAATAGTAGCTGTGCTGCCACTGTATCTGTTGTCAGAAATTGACTTTTGCAAAGTCCCCTACCGACAAAACTTTGTTGCATTGTTTTGTAATTATTCAGAGGTATTGTTGGTTTCTGTTTGTTAAGCGTTTTATGTTTTACTGAGCTATCGAGAGAAGTTTGATGTTTAAATTTATACTCAACTGTGTTGTAAACAGTAATTTTCTTGTTATCCGTGGAAAAAAAAGGATTAATTGAATTCTGCTCAACAATTCCCTTCGTATTTTTGTCCTTTTGTACCCTAGAGTGTTTGTATAACCACCTACAGGGCTTTCGTCAATAACAAGCATATAATTGTAAAATGAAAATGTGTGTTTATAGCAGCAAAGCACTGAGGCACAAAACCCTCCTCTTACTCCGACTTTGTTATAGTTAACCTTCACACTGTGCCATTAGTCGGTGCTTACTGTCAAAGAGCTGCATAGACAGATCGATATCATGGATTAGTTGGTGATCCTGAATTATGTCTGCACATCATATCAATAGATTCTGTCCTCTCTGGTCCTGCACTGTGGAAATCTTATTAATGTGTAGTCTTACAAAATTGTACTGATAAGAGCCTGGGAGCAGTTTTTTGCACTGAGTGAAGTGATGGTATTTAAATGTTTGCATCATTGTTACCCAAAATGTAAACTGACCTAAGAGGAAATGGATTTATTTCTTTGGATTTATAGCAAAAATTCATTCATTCAACAGCTCTAGCACATGAAAACAGTTCTGATATCTGGATTTGCGCTCAACTCAAGATTTTCTACTCTTCATAAATAGACTCTGAGTTATATAGGATTTTTAAGACGGATACCAATACCAATATTTGGTGATCTAAACATGCGATATATTGGCCAATAATTTTTATTTCGTATCATACACACAAAATATGTTTAATACCATTTTATATTCAGAACAAGTTGTATTAATTTACGCGTTGCCCAACTCTGCTCAGATCAGCTGGTTGTTGTGTTTGCAGCTTTGCAAACACGTTTCCATCTGAGAAGTTGCAGAGGCCTCCCTAGTGGACAGACTATTCGATATCAGAATTCACACCTTGGTTAACAGGTCTTTCTCTGGTCTCTTCTTTATTTTTTAAATGTTCCTTTAATGGCTATTATAAGTGCAGGTATCTTTAGATAGCTAATAATGGCCGATAACCCCTGCAGATACATCGGTCAGGCTCCAGTAATAGAGATCAATAGTAATAATGAACTATTTTGGAAATAAGGTGTTTTTTTTCTCACATTACATTCCTCTCACTCTGTACTGTGATGACAGACAGCAAACTTTGAAGCACGCTGTTGTCAGATATAAGAGAAACAGACAATGAACCGTGAACAAAGTATAATCGAAAAACACCATGACAGTGTGATGGAGAAAGTGAAGCTGTATGTAACAACAAGAGAAAAATAAGACAGGACAAAAATGGATTTGTAAAAAAAAGAAAGAAAGAGATGATTGAGAGAAGAGAGCCCTGGCACATGGAGAGGGTGAGGAGAGCGGCACATAAAACATTCAGGCAGCTTGTTTGACTTTAATGATGCCATGTGGGATGCTACGCGGGGTGCTGTAGGCATTGTGTGTTTCTACATAGGGCCTAGATAATTGGGATGTGAGTACAGAGGTATACAGTCATGTCAGTGTTTTGGGATTATGCTAAGGAGTCGGTGGTGTGCTTTTGTAGTGTGGAGTGACTGTTTACATGTCTGTCATGCAAAGCAGGTTACACTGACAGATGACAATCCCGTCAGGAGACACTTCAGGTTGTATGGCTATTTGTAAGGTTTACTCTGGAGCAGAATGTACTACAGTATGTGTTTGGATGCCAGCCAGTTTCAGCTCTTTCCCCCTAAATCTCAACAAATGAATCAGCCGTACACAGAGCAACGAATTTTGAATAATACATCATAGATTTTCAGACAAAGCACTTCATATGCCTTTGTTTGCATTTATGTTGGTTTGTGTGTTTTTGATTTGTGCGTGAGTGTGAGCTCGCTACTGTTCACACATCTATGTACCGTGAGACAGCCTTGCCACTTCTAGCTCACACATAAAATTGCATTTGAGCACTCAAGGGAAATATGCTGCCGGTCTCACCAATATCAGCAAAATATAGCTTTAGCCGGCTGTGCTGGAAGAATGAAACAATACAAATCACTTGTGAAGGCTAAAAGGGTCTATACATATTTCACCTGCAGTTAAGCAATTAATGACATTACATTAAAATGCAGATCTCCATCAGTATGGACACATTTCTTTGTTTATAGAACACGCTTAGATTCTTGGACTTCAATTCTGTTCCTATCTGAGAAGCTATTTCCTCTTCATTCCAGCGTGACCTCAGTTATTAAAACATTCTACCGTCTGCTGTGGTTGAAATGTGACCCTGAGAAAGGTTTTTCTGTCACAGTTTATTTTATAATCGCAGCATGACTGCACGGAGGTTAAATTGAATAAAGCCTTTGGACACATAGGCTTGAACGTTACGACTTTGAACTAAAAGGCCTGAGATTTCCTCCCAAAACAAACTCTTAGATAAAACCAGTTAAGATTTTGAGGTCTTAAACTTGCCGCTGCACCTTTAGCACTGAGAGCAACAACATGATTTGTACTCTGAGTTATTTAGCAGTTTCTAACAGCGGTATGGCGGCCATCAATCCCTTAGCAGAGAAGCATCAAATCACTCACAGTGGTTAACTTGCCTATTTCTGCTTCTGCTACAACACCTCGGTGGTGCTTCGATCTTTAGGTGCTTTATAAATGGTGTGAAGATTTGTTTTCCTGCCATTTAAAATCATTTAAACTTCTTCAATGTCCATCTGTTCACATACAATAACGTGCTTGTATATCACCAGCTACTGCTGGCTTTTGTTGGCCTATAAGTTGGCACTTTAATATAGTTATGATTGTGTTAAAGAATATAAAGTTTGATTACTGTACACACTAAACATTACTGAAATAAAAAACAAGAAAGAAAGAACAAAGAGATGCTGATGTTCAGCACTCTTGAGCCAACCTGTATTTATTTATATTTTCTGGCAGTATAGTATTTATTTACTAGGGATAGAATATGTGCAGCCATTTACTGAAACATACATGAAAATACAGCAACAATGGCAACAACAGAGTTTGTACAGTTCTAACAAACTTGAAAGTCAATGTTCAGTGTCTATTTATTCATTACATTAATTTAGTATAATACTGCCTGAACTCTTCTAGGCAAAATGTATAGTCATTTCTTTAAGTAGTCTTTAGGATTAGTTCTCCAGGCTTCTTGAAGGACATTCAAAGATCTTCTTTTGGTGTTAGCTGCCTTTTTTGTGTTCTCTGTCAAGATGATCCCACACTGCTTTAGTAATATTGAGATCTGGACACAGAGGAGGCCAATCTGTGGCTGATTGTGTTTTATTGTGTGTTCGTTCTGTCCAGCTATGCTTTTACTACATTGGCAGTGTGTTTGGTATCACTGTCATGCTGAAAAAATTAAGCTTTTGCCATTCAGATCCCTGTTAGCTGTGTTTAATGGATCAAAATGTGATTACACTTTTGTGTGTTCATTCATGACATTTTGAACCAAAAATTTTAATTTTGGATTCATTGCTCCATAGCACCTGATGCCACTGATTTTCAGTCCAGTTATTGGGCCTTCCATAACCTTTCTTCCTCTGGTCTCTTCTTAAGGATTGCTTGTTATACATCATCCCTTCCACTAAAACCATTTCTCATGAGATTTCTGAGCTCGGGTACAAGGACTAGATTGAAAATCACTAAAAAATAAGCCAATGTCCGAAGAAAACCTCTGAAAGACCTTCAGAAAGCCCAAAGACCTTATTTAAAAAAAAAGAACGTCTGGTTCCTTCAAAGCAAAACATAAAGAAATGAGGAGTGGCTCAAGACTGCACTGTGGTTAAAATTTGTTCCTGATGCCAAGGATAAAGAAAAAGCTTTTTAAATATGTGTAGCCAAGTGTGCTTGACTGCGCGTGCGTTTGCTCACATGCATTTTTAAGCAGTGGTGCCACAGGGCTGTTAGGTAGCTTCAAGGACAGTCTAATTGTTACAATATTGTTGCAATTCCCTCCGCAGTTCTGATCTCAGCATGTAATCAACAAGGGGTCTATTTTGCCTGACCTTTGTATGCCTGTGTGTACGCATGTGTGTGATGTTTTGCTTGTTGGTATGAATATTCTGTGTGTGGTATAATTAGTGGTCTTAACAACATACAGGGAGTGCAGAATTATTAGGCAAATGAGTATTTTGTCCACATCATCCTCTTCATGCATGTTGTCTTACTCCAAGCTGTATAGGCTCGAAAGCCTACTACCAATTAAGCATATTAGGTGATGTGCATCTCTGTAATGAGAAGGGGTGTGGTCTAATGACATCAACACCCTATATCAGGTGTGCATAATTATTAGGCAACGTCCTTTCCTTTGGCAAAATGGGTCAAAAGAAGGACTTGACAGGCTCAGAAAAGTCAAAAATAGTGAGATATCTTGCAGAGGGATGCAGCAGTCTCAAAATTGCAAAGCTTCTGAAGCGTGATCATCGAACAATCAAGCGTTTCATTCAAAATAGTCAACAGGTCGCAAGAAGCGTG